GTACGAGCAAAATCAGGTGTTTAGAAGCATCCGGGCTCACGTACGGGCACGTGGGAATTTGGCGCGAAAATCACTAACCCGGCAATGGGAGAAGCTAGAAAGCTGAAACTTTAAGGGAATGTTCCCCACTCATGTACCAGCAAAATCAGGTGTTTGGAGGCACCCGAGCCCATGTATGTGAATGTGAAAATTTTGGCGCGAAAATCACTAACTCGGGAACGGGAAAAGCTAGAAAACTGAAACTTTAGAGGAATGTTCCTTATTTATGTACGAGCAAAATCAGGTGTTTAGAGGCACCCGAGCCCACGTATGGGCATATGGAAATTTTGGCGCGAAAATCACTAACTCGGGAACGGGAAAAGCTAGAAAACTGAAACTTTAAGGGAATGTTCCTTACCCATGTGCGAGCTAAATCAGGTGTTTAAAAGCATCCGGGGCTCGCGTACGGGCATGTGGGAATTTTGGCGCGATCATGTACGAGCAAAATCAGGTGTTTAGAAGCATCCGGGACTCACGACGGGCAGCGTGGGAAATTGGCGCGAAAATCACTAACTCGGGAACGGGAAAAGCTAGAAAGCTTCCACGTACGAAGACGTGGAAATTTTGGCGCAAAAATTACTAACTCGGGAACGGGAAAAGCTAGAAAGCTGAAACTTTCTACGTACAGGCACGTGGGAATTTGGCGCGGAAATCGCTGAACAGGAAAAGCTAGAAAGCTGAAACTTTAAGGGATGTGGGCACGTTGGAATTTTGGCGCGGGAATCACTAACCCGGGAACGAAAGAAACTGGAGAGCTGAAATTGAAACTTTTGGGGAATGTTCCCTACTCATGTACGAGCAAAATCAGGTGTTTAGAAGCATTCGGGGCTCACGTACGGACACGTGGGAATTTTGGCGCGGAAATCACTAACCCGGGAACGAAAGAAGCTGGAGAGCTGCATGTGGGAATTTTGGCGCGGAAATCACTAACCCGGGGACGAAAGAAGCTGGAGAGCTGAAATTTTACGGTCCCCTACTTATGTAGAAACAAAATCAGTTGTTTAGAGGCGCTCGAGACCCAAGTACGCCATATATGAGAGTTTTGGCGCGGAAATTACTAACCCGGGGAAGGGAAAAGCTAGAAAGCTGAAAATTTATGGGAATGCTCCCTACTGATGTACGAGTAAAATCAGGTGTTTAGAAGTGCTCGAGCCCACGTACGAGCGCGTGGAAATTTTGGCGCGGAAATCACTGACCCAGGAAGGAAAAAG